AGTCCCATGCGGTACTTGCTGGACTGGACCAGGACTGACTGGGGACTGGGACTGCTGACTCAGCACAGGTAGACTCCACCACTTGCCCACTTGCCTCACCACTTGCCCACTTGCCTCAGTCTAAACGTGGGCAACTTCGAAAGGCCACTACTGGGACCTTCCGGAAGGCCGTAGACTTGGCCTTTCGTGACTGTAGCAGCTACGACTCTGACCCTTCTCGACTGTAGCAGCTACGACCTTGACCTTTCGGGAAAGCTACAACTACGACGTCTAGACCTGACTAAGACTCCTACTCGACAGGTCTACAGATCGAACCCCTGCGACCTCAGGACCCTGCGATAGGCTACCGCTGTTACAAATACACCGGTCATGGGTTCAACTCCAAGGGCCGACACAGATACTATACACAGGTAAAGTGGGAACTAGGGATCGAGCCCTGGGATCTGCATCAGCTACTGCGAATTGGTGAATACCGTTTCAGAATCCACCTTTTGAGTGCGTCAGAGAGTACAGGCTGAGTCTTGATCCAGCGCAAAGTCTCATGGTCATATCTCAAGTAGAAGAATCTGCCTAGGAGATAGTGTGTCCAGTGGACCAGCGCTCTATAGAGGGCATAGAGCTCACACTCATACGTGGACTTTGCTAGCTTATGAGATGGCATCTTTTTGCTCATGTACTCGATAGGCCTCAACTTATTCCCCTCATTTTGCACAAGGACTGCGCTTATGCCATATTGGCTAGGTCTATGATCAATACAAAGTGTTGTTCAAGAAACTGCACATCCTCTACAAGGATCCTTGGGTGGCGTCGGAAGAACTTGACTTTCATGCTCTCTTGTTGCGCTGGACTCACATGAAGCAAGAACGTGCGCAAGGGTAAACGAAGTTTATCTTCTTCAAACTCCGCATTAACGACCGTTACTACCGTGCGTTGGCTGATTATGGCACAACCGCCAACTACTTCTCACCATACTACATTCGGAAGGCATGCTTGGGAATGAAGCAAGTGACATTGCAGAATCCTTGTCGGACCCAAGTGGGCAACCTAGAGGTTGTCATATCTACGCATACAGTCAAAGGTGTGCGCACTACCTTTGGCACAGACCGCACAATCACGCACGAGTTGAACTTCTATGTCCTTGATAAGTGCCCCTTCGATGCGGTTATTGGCTCGGGCTGGTTGCAGGCCCAATGTGAAGGAACCACGTGGAAGGACTCACAATTCATGGTAAAAAATGCCATGGGAATCGAGCGTCCAGTCCTATTGGATGAGCCGCATGAGTCCCAAGTGACTTTTCTCAATGCAATGAAATTATGCAAAAAGTCGTGTGCGTGCAAAGTTGATGAGCAAATGTATATAGCCATTGTTAGGCCTACTCATGTGCCTTCTATTTTTGTTGTACATAATGATTCTACTTTGCATGTCGTTTCTACTTCTAATGCAACTACTTCTACCTCTACTAAATCTACTTTTAGTCTAAACGATTCTGCTTGAAATCCCATTGTTTTGGCTACACCTATCCAATCCAGTATGCTTGCACCAGAATGTGATGATCCACGTCCGGTAATCCCATCAGAGATCCGCAGCCTTCTCAACCGATTTCCTGAAGTTTGGCCGAACCGCATGGAGTCCCCGTGTGTCTGGTCCGACACAAGATCGAGTTGATAGAAGGCAACACTCCTCCAAAAGGTTGTGTTTATCGAATGGGCTCAGGCGAATTGGAGAAGTTGCGAAGGCAGATCGATGACATGCTTGAGAAAGGTTGTATCAAGCCAAGCGAATCCGAATTCGGTGCACCAGTTTTGTTTGTCCCTAAGAAAGGAGGCAAACTACGGATGTGTATCGATTACCACGGACTGAACAGAATAACCAGAGAGAATGCATACCCTTTGCCACGCATTGACGATCTACTTGATGCTGCAGGTGGATGCAAGGTCTTCAGCAAGATAGATTTAAAGTCTGGTTACCACCAGATTGAAGTCGACCCTGCAAACCAGCATAAAACTGCATTCAAAACTCGCGATGAGTTGTATGAATTTACCGTTATGCCCTTCGTCCTCACGAATGCATCGGCCACCTTCCAAAGTCTCATGGACAAGGTGTTCCGCAATCAGATGAATCGATTTGTTGTTGTTTATTTGGATGACATACTAATCTTCAACAAGTCGATGGAGGAGCACATGAGACACCTTGAGGAAGTGTTGCAAATCATCAAGGATGCGTAGCTCCATCTCAACTTAGAGAAATCTGAGTTTGGGAGGGAGAGCGTCATCTACCTTGGACATCGGTTGTCTGCTGCAGGCCTAGAGCCCGAGGCAACCAAAGTTGAGGTCATCCGCAACTGGCCTCAACCGACAAATGTCCGTGAGTTGCGTTCTTTTCTTGGTCTTGCGTCGTACTACCGTAAGTTTGTGCCCAAATTCTGTATCATCGCCCGTCCGCTGTCCAAATTGACAAGCAAGAGGGGGAATGCACAACAACCTTCCAAGGCTTGAAGGAGGCTTTGGTGAGTCATTCGGTGTTCCGCATTGCAGATCCCAAACTTACATTCGTAGTAACTACGGATGCAAGCTTGTATGGGATTGGTGCGGTGCTGCAACAAGATGATGGGGACGACTTACTTCCGCTTGAGTATTACAACAAACGCATGCCCAGTCACAAGGTAGTTGCCTCCGCTTATATGGGAGAACTCTATGCCTTGAGAGAGACACTAGATCATTGGAAACACTACCTCTTGGGTCGCCATTTCAAAGTGTTCTCAGACCACGAGACTTTGAAATGGATCCAGACACAGATTAATCCATCAACTACATTGACACACTGGATGCATGAGATTGATGTGTATGATTTTGAACTTAAGCACAAAAAAGTTTGTTACAATCGCGTGGCGGATGCTTTGTCATGCCATCCTGAGTACATGACTTGCCTTGTGGGTTCCTACGATCTCCGTAAGAATTTAAAGGAGGAACTCATTGAGCATACTGCCAAGGACCCGGAACTCAGTCCCATCCTTGAGCAGATTCAAGCTGACCCTATAAGTCAGCCTGATTTCCACGAGTGTAAAGGTTTACTCTTTCGACGTTAAAGGTTTACTCTTTTGACGTT